CCAGAACAATCTCTTCTCGACTACCAGATAACAGCTCTATTTTTCACAGCAGAAGCTAACGCCATATTAACAGCTCTTAAATATATTAATAAACACCGTAAATATAAACAATACATCATATTTTCCGATTCTCTTTCGTGTCTTCAGGCTATTAAAAGTCGTTCTTGTAAACATCCGCTTTTATTACAAATTATTGAATTGCATAATGAGCTTGCTACTGGCCAATGTGACATCGTCTTTTGTTGGTTACCCAGCCACGTTGGCATTTCTGGGAACACGATGGCTGATATTGCTGCTAAGGCAGCACTCAACAAATCTGTGACGCCACTTCTGATCCCATACTCTGATTACAAAGCTGCTATTAGAACTTACATCCGTGATCTGATGCAAAAGAAGTGGGACACCCAAGTAGGTATCAATAAATTACATGAAATAAAACCCTACATTGGTTACACCTACTTGGGTTGTCAGTCCAGATTTGAAGAGGTCATCATGCGACGATGTCGTATTGGCCACACTAGATACACGCATGCGTACCTATTGAAAGGTGAGGATCCTCCGTTTTGCATCCCTTGTGATGAGAGAACCACGGCCAAACATGTCCTGCTTGACTGTGTTGAATTCTCCATCATAAGGGATAAATACTTCAATGTGAAAACAGTTAAGGATCTTTTTACTACTGTTAATTCTCATTTAATTCTTGGTTTTTTAAAAGAAATTGACTTAATGAATGAATTTTGAATAATATGCTGTGTACATATTTGTATTTTAATTATTGGTAGACTTGATTAATAACTTAAATTGTTAGTGGCTGTACCCTCAAAGGGGGTTGAAGTATTGTAAAATTATTGTCCTCCTGAGAGGGTACGTAAGTCCCAAAACATTTCAAGTAAATTTAAGTATACCAGGTATTTTAATCGTAGTATTTTGTTATTTTAATGTATAGCTAATTTCGGTATAAACGCCAACAGCTAAAGGGATGGTGTAAATCCAGCTAGGGTCCATGCAGGTAGCAAAAGTAATGTAAGTCCCCATGGACCCTAGTATGGTGATCTACCTTCAGTTGTTGGCGATCTATAGCCCATTTTTATATTGTGTTGTCCCCTATAGTTAATATGTTTTAGATTCAATTACTAGTTTTACATATATATCTGTGATACTCTAGTTGCTTTACTGTCCTTTGGCGGCAGGTTTTTATAATATCTGTATATATATATTCTTTTTCAATATCAAATGTTCTCGTCACGATATGGCTGAAATATTGCCGATGTGACGTTAAATCTTAACTCACTCACTCCACGTGCTTTGTTCAGTCTGACATGAGTATTACATGCCTACGTCATACTCACGGATGGTCAAGAAGCTGAAGTCTATATAATCAGATCTCATGGCAACTGACAGTCACCTTGACAATACCGTTCTATAAATGCATGTTAAAGATAAGAACATGCGTTGGTATGTGGGTGCGGTGATAGGGTAATCTGGAAATACATGTAACCCTGTCGCTCGAAAGAGGACAAGGGTAGTTATGTATTTTCAATGATGATTCAACCACTTTGGTGATTGATTTGCATCCAGCTACGGGAACATCTTCTTCCCTGGATCTGTCACTCACTGATTCCATTTTGTATAATGAATATTAATGGATGGTCCACGATGACCTCTGTGGGAGCGATCACTTCCCCACCATTCTGAAAACAATCAACCCTGGGTATGATCCACCTTTATTATGAAGGAACAAACCATATTCTAACCAGTCTAACCCTGCATTTAACTCTGTGTCTTTAATCCGCTTTATGAGGATCTACACAGCAAGTACCCATCTCTTATTCCGCCTCCAGGAATAAAAATAAAACCTTTCCTTTCTGATGCTGGCATTTAGCTACAAAATATAGCTCCTCCCAGATCTTCTTTCTTCTCCTCCTTGGCAACTGGTGAGGCCACAGGTTGACCTAACAATGACAACGTTTACAAAATCCGAAACTAATGAATACAACATAGACAAGAATATAATCAATTGAAAAGTAAGGGGTACACGATATGACTTAAACATTGCCGATGTGACGTTAAATATCATCTCACTCACTCACGCACTCACTCACTCACTCACTCACTCACTCACTCATTGTTTAGTGCGTTGATAAACAACCAAAAACATAATCACAACATTGGACCTTCATTGCACACATTTGTACATTATCAGGAACAATGTGTTATGAAATGTTTCCATCACGTAACATCACAGAGACCCCAATACCAGGTCTACGATCCAGCATAAGGCAGACAACATTTATAAATAATGTTTATGAAACCAGAATAAATATAAAAGGGTATAGATCAAGTGTTTTGAGGTAAGAGGTAACACAAATGTCAGACAACATGGTATTCATGTCAGTGGCCCGGTTTTTCACACCAAAGACTGCATCTCTTTATTATCAGCTTTGACTGTTGTATGGCTTTAAATATAGGTCTAGGACTAAGGTCAGTTGATAGTATACATATGCAGGTGTACCTTTCTCAGTGAAGTTTGCTTGAACTAGTACAGAGAAGGTGCAATATGAAGTGAGTGAGTGAGTTATTATTTAACGTCACATCGGCAATATTGCAGACATTTCGTAACGAGAACATATTTGACATTGAAGTGGAATATATGTATATTATAAAAACCTGTCGACGAAGGACAGTAAAACAACTAGAATATCACAATTAGAATTAAAACTAGCATGGAAAGTTAACACTAATAGCACTATTGGGAAAATACAATTGGGAAAATACAATATAAAATACTAGGGACTATAGATCGCCAACAACAGAAGGTGGCGATTGTAAGAATCAGTCAAAATTAAAAGGACAAGAATACTACGTTTAAAATTCCTGGTACAGACTTTGACCTTTTGGGACTTCCGTACATGGGACAATAATTTTACAATACTTCAACCCCTGGAGGGTACAGCCACTAACAATCTTAGTTACTAATTCAAACTTCCAATCATAAAATATTTATGTATTTACAAATCATGTAACAAATCTAATTCTTTTAAAAATGCAATAATTAAATGAGAACTTATATTAGTAAAAAGATCCTTCATAGTTCGTGATTTGAATAGTTACCCCTTGTGAGAATCTTCATCTTTAAGCAAATATCCATGTGGATATCTTGTGTGGCCAATACGACATCGTCGTATGATGACCTCTTCAAATCTGGACTGACAACCCAAGTAGGTGTAACCAATATAGGGTTTTATTTCATGTAATTTGTTAAGACCTACTTGGGTGTCCCACTTCTTTTGCATCAGATCACGGATGTAGGTTCTAATGCTAGCTTTGTAATCAGAGTATTGGATAAGAAGTGGTCATAGATTTATTGAGTGCTGCCTTGCCAGCAAGTTCAGCCATTGTATTCCCAGAAATGCCAACGTGGCTGGGTAACCAACAAAAGACGATGTCGCATTGACCAGTAGCAAGCTCATTATACAATTCAATAATTTCTAATAAAAGTGGATGTTTACAAGAAAGATTTTAATAGCCTGAAGACACGAAAGAGAATCGGAAAAGATTATGTATTGTTTATATTTACGATGTTTATTAATATATTTAAAAGTTAATATTGCGTTAGCTTCTGCTGTGAAAATAGAGCTGTTATTTGGTAGTCGAGATCCACTGACAGTGGCACATGCCACCGTGCCACCACCCTTGGACCCATCTGTAAACAAGGATTTGAATGTATTATATATATGTTTAAATTGATTATATTCTTGTTTATTTTGTAACTCATTAGTTTCAGATTTCTTAAACTTTGTCAGAGCCAACGTCAGGCCTCACCAGTTGCGAAGGGGAAGAAAAAAGACGGGAAGGAGATATATTTTCCAGCTCAATGCCGGCAGCAGAAATGAATGGTTTTATTCTTAAACCAAGAGGCGGAACAAGAGAAGGCTTTTTGTTGTACAAATCCTCATAAAGAGGATTACAGAGACAGTTAAATGCAGGGTTAGACTCGTTAGAATACAGCTGTTTTGTTATATACTGCATGCAGTTTGAAGAACACTGTTTCACATACTAAACAGTCTTGTGATTCATAGTCATTCTGTGTTCAAAGTGATAAACTACGTTGGTCCGAGATATTAAAACCCATGACCCCTTATGTGTTGTAAAACAAATATATATATATATATATATTCCAAATATTACCAAAATTGATTTCCAAAATGAATACATGGCCTTGAGTGAGTTAATAGTTAGCGTCACATCGGCAGTATTGCAGCCATATCGTGACGAGAACAATTTTTACCAATACTCAATCAATAAATGTACAACGTAAAAACCTGTCATCGAAGGACAGTAAAACTACTAGATTATCACAGCTCATAATTTAAAACTAGTAGGCTGTTATAAAAATAAATCACTAGAGACAGTTACGGTACAATATTAAAAAAACGGCTATAGATCAGCAACTGCAGGTAGATAACCATACTAGGGACCATGGGGACTTAAAGTACTTTTGCTACCTGGATGGACCCCAGCTGGATTTATATCAAAATTTCAGCAGCTGGCGATTTTAGTCAAATTTAGCCAAAATATAAATGACAAAAATACTACATTTAAAACAAGTACTGCTGACCATAGCACATAACGTTACCATATTTATTGCAGTAAAGGGTTGCCGGCTGTTTATCCTATTCACTGATCCGATGTCAAATACCTTGACGTGTGCGTTTCCCACTCCGGGTTGTCAAAACTGTGTCACATAATTTTACAAACGCATATTGCAGCAAACAGTTGATTCCTTTTACTTTATTTTTATACGACAAAATAATCCGCTCGGAATGAGTTTAAACCTTCACTTGATAAACAGTTCTACGTCAGGATTGTCAGTTACAATTATTACAGCAATATACTTATCGTTCTTCATAAGTTTAGAGTGACAGTTTGACATGCATTAACCTCAACGCTACCCTATCACCGCACCTACAGGCCAGTGCATGTTCTTATCTGGTACATACATTTGAGGAATGATTGTGTCAAACTGGCACTTTCCATGAAATCCAACTATACAGACTATCGCTCCTAGTATAAATGACCAGTCAAACCTGGACCGTCTAGTGAGTATGACTTTGGTACGTACCATTCATGTCATAATGCATGATTCAAGTCAAAGACTATTGGTTTCACGGGAAGGAAACGAAGGCTTGTAGTTCAAGCACTTTGAGGTTTAACGGGGATATATTCATGGAAACGAATAAGGCAACACATGAAGGTACAATTGTTCCTTTATTATTGCCAGAATTTCACCCACAGTGCAATTCATACCTTGTGAAGACGCCTGGAAAAGAATAAAGGAACACTTGTACTTCCATATGTTCCCTTATTCGTTTCCATGAGTACATGTACATTTGTCTTTCCAACACTGGAGTCCAAAGTAGGATCCCAAGCACTTTAATTCGTTAAGTAACAAGGACAACTACATAATGGTGATCGGACAACACTGGCAATATGGGTATAGTTAGTAATCCAAACTCCATCTTCGACGTTCGCAGTCTCTGAAGCATTGTTCTTGTCCATCATAAGGGATAGATATTTTAATGTCAAAACAGTAAAGGACCTTTTTAGTAATGTTAATTATCATTTAATCATTGATTTTTTAAAAGAGATAGATCTGTTAAATGAATTTTGATATATGTTTTGTAAATAGATAAGGTTTTATAATTGGTAGTTTAGATTATCAGCTTCGATTGTTAGTGGCTGTACCCTCAAAGGGGGTTGAGATATTGTAAAATTATTGTCCTCCTGAGAGGGCACGTAAGTCCCAACACATTTAGAGTAAATTTAAGCTTGCCACGTTTTTAATCGTAGAATATGTGTGCTTTGAATTTATGGCTATACATGTATTTCTCTTCTGTCGCCAATGGCTGAAGGGATGGTGTAAATCCAACTAGGGTCCATGCAGGTAGCAAAAGTAATGTAAGTCCCCATGGTCCCTGGTATGGTGATCTACCTTCAGTTATTGGCGATTTATAGCCCATTTTTATACTGTATTGTTTTTCCCCTATAGTTAAAACGTTTTAGATTTAATTACTAGTTTTACATACATATCTGTGATACTCTAGTTGTTTTACTGTCCTTCGTCGGCAGGTTTTTTATAATATACATATATTTCATTTCAATATCAAATGTTCTCGTCACGATATGGCTGAAATATTGCCGATGTGACGTTAAATATTAACTCACTCACTCACATTATTCTTGTAACTGTAGTACCGTTGGGACATAGAGATTGTTTATACTTAACTGAGGCATCCAAATGACTCCATCTACACGTAGTCAACAGTCAGTAACGGGTTATTTAACTTATGAGTGAGTGAGTTAAAGTTTATAGTCACAGCGGCAGTATTTCAGCCATATCGTGATTAAAAATATTCATGATAAATACATACATTTTAAAACCCATCGATGTAGGATAGTTAAACCAACTAGAATATCACAGTACCAAAACTTAAAACGGGCATCTATCTCTAAAATTGGATTTAGGACAATACAATATAAAAATCGGGCTATAGATCACCAACAATTGAAGGTAGATACCATACTAAGGACCATGGATCCTAGCTGGATTTAAGTCATCCCTTTAGCCGTTCGCGATTGTAATAAAATTTATTTAACTTGAAGTCTACTTGCAATAACAGGTTATTTACATACCAATGTATAACTGCATGCATAATATTGACTTGGATCATACTAAACCACTCGTCTCAATGTTGAAAGCCTGTTTTAGGGTAAAAAGCAAATAACTGTTATTAATTGAACGAAATCAGTTATAATTTTAATTAGATAATTTCATTCAATGTTCCAGAGAATGAACTGGACACAGGTCTTTTTCACTCTGAGTTTCACAGTAGTCGGAGGCTACAGTGACACTACGGTGACCATCCACCCTCAGTGGCTGGCACAGGGAGGAAGCGCTCGCTATGACTACAATAGATGGAACAAGCACAATAACTTGGATCAACCAAACCTCATTCCAAACTGTCGGAGGCTTCTGACTGATAGTGGGCGCTGGGGTGACCCAGACACAAACAGTCGTCTCTTTCAAGACGTGAGAACGTTTGTTTCATTGTTTGTTTGTTTGTTGTTGTGTAACGCCGCACTCAGAAATATTCCAGCTGTTTGGTTTGTTTCTAACCCGTGAACATTCGCGATCTTTGTCTGTGGAAACCCATTCTTGTCGTGAGTGGCGACTAACGGGATAGGGTGGTTGACACGTGTCATCGATTCCCAGTTGCGTAGATCGATGCTCATGCCGTTGGTCACTGGATTGTCTGGTCCAGACTCGATTATTTACAGATTGCTGAAATAGTGCTGACATATTGCTGAGTGCGGCGTAAAACTAAACTCACTCACTTACTCGATTATTTACAGATGGCCACCATGTTGCTGGAATATTGCCGAATGCAGCGTTAAACAACAACAAACAAAAAGAAAGGAGGGGGGTTGGGGCAAATATTAGCTCCAGTATTTTCAAACATGATGCAACAGAAAAAAATGTTGAAATTTTGAATAGGTGGAATTTTGAACTGTACGTAATTAGTTTCAACCTTTGGTGGTGTGTCCTTTACTTTTGCTATTAGGAGCAAGAAAAGCACTCTTTCATGTCATGCTGTATTATCTGTCTAGGCGGAGAGTCGGTAATAGCGGTAATAAACATGTTTACAATATTGCATTATGTTGATTTCAAGGTCATTAATCTTATAAACATATCCATTGCAAGTGGCCAGAAGACCCAAACCGAAGTGGCTACCCTGACCCCAACTACTTGAAGAACGTCACCATACAACAGCAAGTGTGCTCCAGATACGTACAGAACATCAACACTGTTTATGAGAACGACATGATCATGGTGACAGAAGGTAAGATGAAAACTAAAAGCCATGGCGGAATTTGTGGGTTTGACCAATACGAACTAACATAGTTTCTAATCACGTATTTTCTATTTTGTCTTATTCTATTTGTTCATTGGACCTTTAGTAGCAGAAAAGTGGCTACTACCTCTGGGTCCATATCATGTTTGTCCACTGATTCCTAAGTGTATAACTGGTGCAACATCCAGAATACTGACATTTCATCGTCATTTTCCATGTCAGTCAATCTGTATTCAGAACTGGAGACCACAGGGCCAAAGTACAAGTATATAAAATGTTCAACAGCAGAATGGATTTCCCTTCATAATAGCATGATAAATATACAGAGCAATATTTTCAATTAGCATACTATTAGCAGTCGAAAAAGGCTGGTTATGTTTGTGGTTGGAAGTTGTTTCGTAAAAAATTGGGTATGTATTTGTTTGTGATGTTACTACAATGATCACAAATTAGCAGAACATGGTATTCGTCTTATAGGACATTTAACTTACAGTAGGTTTGTTATGAAATGTTCCCTTATAACAACATAAATCTTAGTAAGCTGGGTAAGGCTATTCTTACTTTCCTAATATTAATATAGCGTATAAATCGTTTACAGATGACTTTTCTATAAAAAGGGAGTAAGTAAAAGTACAGGAACTATTTCGGAGTGTTCCATGCTACTCATGTACATAGCAATCCTTGCTTCTTCTTCTTACGAGTAACTTTAAGAAATGCTGTTTGTTTCCAATTCCATGCCCTTACCCATGTCTATTGGATGCAACTGGCTCCTGCTTGGGAACATACACAAAACATGTTGACATGACTTTACTTCCGATTCAGTGTCACTATCGTCACAAGAGCCCAGATGTGAACCTTCTTCTATAAAGCCCCCTGATACATTTGAAATATTTCACTGCGAACTTGAACCTGCCCTATCATAGAGAGTTTGTGATTTTTGTGATTTGATTCTTTCAATGTGCTTCTTGTCAAACAAACTGAAAGCGACAAAAACGTCTCTTTTCCACAACTTTACAATAACTAGGGTGACCATGACACTGACGGTGGTATTCCATTCTTACACCATGCATTCTCTAAAACAACTTTATTTCTTTCATCATAAAATTGTCCTTTTTACATTTTCTGTTTTTTCACATTGTTCAATTTCCACTCATTTCAACACCAAATTCAGTCGTGTACCTGTTCTGCTCTATTCTATTCTATTCTTATTGGCAGCTCTTGAATTCCCGAGTTGGATAGACACGTCTGATCATGATGGTCATTTCCCAAACAACGTTGATGCTGCTGCAGAGTTTATGATGTTGTTGGTACAAGGAATTTATGACTACACCAAAGGACGGATACCACCCTACATTGAGCCAATAAATGAACCGGATGGTAAATGGCAAATACTGAATTTCACCACTATTTCTGCCTTTCACAAAATAGTTGCAGAGAAACTCCATGCCAGATTTAACATCAAGGTGGCTGGTCCTACAATTACCAGTGAAATTAACAACGCAGATTTACACGACTTTTCGTATTGGCAAAAAGTGGCAAGTTTCATGGATATCACTCTCGGCTATATAGATGTATTTTCTTTCCATGCGTACAATGACCTCGTTGTTTCGGGAAGATCTTACAATTTTACTGGAGCAAATGAAGCACATCTGGTAGCATTTATAGACCTGGTTGAAAACTACGCCTCTCAGAAGACCGGTAAGATTATTCCTCTTGTTATCAGTGAATATGGTCGCGGTGCCGTCAGAGGACTTGACAAATATGCTCCATCACCCATAATTGACTTTTCAACAATCTACCAGTCCAATGCCCACAGATTTACCCAACTGGGTCTGAGGGAATACATTGACAGAGCAGTGGCCTTTCTTCTTGCCAGTGAAGAAAGGCCAGGACGTTACAGTCTCAACTATTCACTTTTCACACCTGAAGGAAAACCCACCCGTATTGTCGACGTTTACGAGTTTTGGTACAAATTCGCGTCAGGCTTCTCCTTTATCAGCACTACCAGCCAGTATGACGGAGAGGAACGTACAGTGTCGCCATTAGCAATGTCAAGTACCTCCACGAACGAAACCGTCATTCTCTTGCACAGTTATTCTCGGAGGTCACAGGCAGTCAAGCTAGTTTTCCAAGGAGACTGGATCAAACCAACAACTGGCCAAGCTACTTGCACCACCATCAAGGACGACTGGTTCCCAGTCATCACCTTCAACGAAACCATCGACATCCAGAAGACACAAGGAATTGTTGAACTTCCTCCTGAAGCATCATGTCACTTTACATTCAACACCCCTTCAAACAAACTTCCTTCAGTCACTCTCAACGAAACCACATATTACGGAGCGGATACACTGATACCAATCAAGGGCGATGTTGTCTCGACAGTGATATCTCTACCAAATGGCCAGTATGACAGTGCAAGGCTGAGAGTGTCAACCAGTTGGCTGATCAATGAAACAAACAGTGTATCATATCTTACCTTTAACCTCCACCGCCTTGACGCTTTCTTTAAACTGTATGATTCAGGCAAGTTTAATCCTGCCAGGAACATGTATTGGAATGTATGGGAGTTTGTAGTCCCCACATCTGTGTTTGTCACAGATTCCAACCAGGTACAGGTTCACTTCTCTAACAACAAGACAACAGGATATGTTTCTTCTTTTGCTCTTGTTACGGGCAAGTTGGTTCCATCTGACAAGTCAGATTAATAGTCATGCGTCATATTCGAATTATTAAAGAATTTCCATTAATGTGGTTTATGTCATTGTTGTCATATTCTCAGTCCATAAACGAGGTACATTTTAATGGCAGTGAGTGTTGACCTGAACTTGAAGGTTACAGTTTGTATCATGACGTTGTAAAGGGGTACATAGGTTTGGTTCAGAGCACACACCTACGTGTAGGCACATGTACTAAATCACCGAGTTTGAGATATTGAAACAGCTGACTCAGTCGCGTTTCTAAAAACAAAACAAGACAAAACAACAACACTTATCTAGCAAAATCAAATTGTCTAAGTATGGGCTAATATCGATTTCAGTTTATTCCGAGAAATACATATTGCTGACTTTTCTCAATCTTGAGAAACTTCTAGTAACAAAGCAGAAGGAAGTTGCGTGGGTACTCCCGTGGACTTGGGTACTTCATGTGTCCAGGGTATGGCTTGCCAACCTCACTTATGTAACAAGGTGATTGGCTTAAAACCTAGATAAATTATTTTCCAGTATCGAGACGGTGGAGTAGCCCAGTGGTTTAAGCGTTCGCTCGTCACGCTGTAGACCCGGGATCGATTCCCCACATGGGTACAATGTGTGAAGCCCATTTTTGGCGTGCCCCACTGTGATGTTGCTGCAATATTGCTAAAACGGCGTAAAACTAAAGTCACACTTAAAGCTGCGATGGTTACCGGTGCTCCAACATGACGTGACGTGACAACTGACCGATGATTTGACTTGTAGAGGAACTTATCATGGGTTATGTCTCTCTACTTTAAGCTACATAATTCAATTCTTTATTGCACGAAAAGCCACTGGCTCATACACAGAGGAGTTACATAGTACCATTAACATATATCAGCAGTATCAGTTCATTTCTTAGCAAAAATGTGTGATGAATAAATATTGATACGTCATGTTGTTTGACAGGACAGTAGAGTATTTGAACACTGACATGAGATAAGGGTCATTGTAGTAAATATTTTGTTGTCATATATGGAGTGAGTGAGTGAGTTAATATTTAACGTCACATCGGCAATATCTCAGCCATATCGTGACGAAAACAATTTATACAATAAAAAGTGAAAATATTTTGAAGATTAAAACCTGTCGACGATGAACAGTAAAAATACTAGATAATCACAGATATAATATAAAACTAGCGAACAAAGCTAAAACATTCCAATTATAAAAGACAATACAGTATAAAACACGGGCTACAGATCGCCAACAACTGAAGGTAGATCATCAAACTAGGAACCATGGGGACTTACATTACTTTTGCTACCTGCATGGAGTGTCACATATGGAGCAAATAAACAAAATGACATTCATCTTCGATAACCTGACAAAATGGACAGAACCTGTGGAGGTTTTTAATTGATAGATATCTTCCTCGCTTGATTACTAAATTATGAACTATTCTAAAACGTATAAAGATGGTCAGGCGCTCTGACCACTAAACAACTGAAGTGGTCAGTAATTTTCCAATATGTTTCAGATCTGAAGGCAATAATAATGGTCAATATATTCAACACGACCAGTTTATAATGTCAAACGTTTGCAAAACAATTGCACCACCTCAAAACAGTGTTTTGCAAAGGTTTGGCATTATAAACTGGTCGTGTTACAATACTTGTTAGTGACTCCTTAACTTTTTATTGAAAACGCCACCTAACACGTCAATAGAAATGAACAGAATGAATTTGAATATATTGACCATGTTCATGATTTCATTCACGTATTGTTTGATACAGACTCGATTATCCACAGAACGCCTCTAAAAGAGCAAAACAACAACAACAAATAACTAAATGTCATTACGACTCATTTCGCACTTGATATTCATTATGTAGATGTTGCCTCAGTATTGAAGATCCGGGTTAGAATTGATCTTCAGTAACCCATGCTTGTCGTAAGAGGCGACTAACGGGATCGGGTGGTCAGGCTCGCTGACTTGGTTGACACATGTTATCGTATCCCAATTGCGTAGTTTGATGCTCTGCTGTTGATCACTGGATTGTCTGGTGCAGACTCGATTATTTACAGACCGTCGTCACTCACTCGTCACGACACCCAGCATACTATATTCTTTTCACTTTGATAAACTAATGCAACACTTATGCAAAATAGAATTATGCCTCATACATGAGCCAAACACGCTCCACATATTCTCAGCATATACTTCTTACTACCGGGCTACTAACCCCACACTCGACGCGACACTTCCCTCTTCACTACTGAAGCCGTCAAGTAGCTGTACAATGGGTTGCACATTATGTAGTTCCTATGCAGTACCCTCTTTCAACAATCACTTCTTATTAATGAGTACTTCATGATTTTGTCTGCTCACGTTTCATGGGAAGCGCGTTCTTCAAACAGTGTAACGTTTCATAAGTCGACCCATTCAGGGTTGATAATATGTGTTTGTAAATGAAATGTATTGTTATGAATCATGGCATACCATTACCTATGAGAGTTCCAGTTTAAGTCGCTGCTTGAATCAGGTCTTATGAACTTAACTTCCGTTCCAAGAATTTCGTAGTGTCTTTATATGAATAGTTTATATGACATACACACACACACACACACACACACACACACACACACACACACACACACACACACACACACACACACACACACACACACACACACACACACACACACACACACACACACACACACACACACACACACACACACACACATTCTAGATATGACTAAATATGACCGTCTTTATACGTTTTAGAATAGTTCATAATTTAGTAATCGAGCGAGGAAAATATTCTGTCAGGATATCGAAGATGAATGTCATTTTGTTTATTTGTCCTGCAAGGTACCTTCAAACAACATGAAGTATCGATATTTATTCACCACACATTTTTGCTTAGGAAGAATTGATACTGATATGCAGCCATATCGTGACTAGAACAATTAATTATCAGTAAAGATCAATAATGTTAGAAACTATAAAACTATTTACGACTACCAGGGTATCACAGAGACAGATATAAAACTAGCATGTAACTAAAAACTTATACTATAATACAAGACAATACAATATGAAAGACCCGTGAAGGTCTGGGTTAGAATGACCCTTCAGTAACCCATGCATGTCGTAAGAGGCGACTAACGGGATCGGGTGGTCAGACTCGCTGACTTGGTTGACACATGTCATCGGTTCACAATTGCTCATGCTGTTGATCACTGGATTGTCTGGTCCAGACTCGATTATTTACAGACCGCCGCCATAAAGCTGGAATATTGCTGAGTGCGGCGTAAAATAAACTCACTCCTTCACTTACAATATAAAAACGGGCTATAGATCACCAGCAGGTGAAGGTAGATCACCATACCAGGGACCACGGGGAAGTCGAGTGCCTTCAGACATTTGGCTTTTGGATAATTAATATGTGGCAAATAAGTTAAATGCGAGTCAAAGATGAGACCAAGGAACGTAGCTTCCTTTACAACTTTGATTGGTGTGCCATTTAAAGATAATTCAGGGTCTTTACGGGGTTTGTATTTTCTGCAGAAATGTATACAATTGGTTTTAGACTTAGAAAATGTAAACTCGTTTTCCAGAAACCATCTATGAATTTTGTTGAGACAAATTTGTAATTGTCTCTCAATAGTTCGCATATTTTCACCATGGCAAGAAATACTGAAATCATCCACGAAAAGGGATCCATCGATTGAATTACTTAAAACCTTGGAAAGACTATTTATTTTGATACTAAATGACGTGACAGACACAATACTGCCTAGTGGAACACCCTGATCCTGATTATAATGGTCTGACAGGGTTGAACCCACTCGGACTTCAAATTGCCTGTCTGTTAAAAAACTGTGATATAAAAAGAGGTAAACGACCCCTTAAACCAAAATCATATAAATCCTTTAAAATGCCATGCTTCCCGGTGGTATCGTACACTTTCGCGAGATCAAAGAATATCGATACTGCATGTTCCTTACTATAGCATTTTTTAACAAAGGATTCTAATAGTACCAAATGATCAGTGGTACTTCGATTTTTCCTGAAACCACATTGAATGTTTGTGATAACGTTATTGGTTTCACGATACCAAATTAATCTATTATTTACCATTCGTTCCATGGTCTTACAGACACAGCTGGTTAGAGATATGGGTCTGTAATTTGATGGATCTGTATGATCCCGGCTAGGTTTTGGTATAGGGAATACAATGGCATTACGCCATGAAGGAGGACAATTTCCAGACGTACATATTTGATCAAATATTTCTAAAAAGCGTCAAAAGACAAGATTCAGGTAAATGTTTCAGGAGCTGATAATGGATATTATCATCACCTGCTGCAGTATCATGAGCTTGCTCAAGAGCTGTGTGAAACTCATGTAATGAAAACACTTCAATTTAATCTTCACCGTTATGTGAATCAAAATTAATGTTTGTCTTTTCCTGTTGTTTTTGATATCTCTAAAACTCAGAGACATAATTTGCCGATAATGAAATTTTGGCAAAAGTTTCGCTAGTTTTATTTGCTTTGTCAGATTTATCCGTTATTAAATTGTTACCATCTTAAGATGGTGAACAGCAGATTTTGAACCTATGCCTTGTATTCGCTGAAGTATGTTCCTCAGCTTAGACATGGGTGTGCGCGAATTAAAATTGAATATGGCAAATGTTTTATACTGAACCATTGTGTCGGGGGAAAGTCCATAACAGTATTGATTTTAGGGCACAACGCACGAAGTAACATGTTACAGACACATTTGGTTCCCGTAGAAACTTTCGACCCGTGAAAGTCCGGGTTAGAATATTGATCTTCAGTAACCCATGCTTGTCGTAAGAGGCGACTAATGGGATCGGGTGGTCAGGTTCGCTGACTTGGTTGACACACGTCATCGGTTCTCAGTTGCGCAGATCGATGCTCATGCTGTTGATCACTGGATTGTCTGGTCCAGATCCGATTATTTACAGACTGCCGCCATATAGCTGGAATATTGCTGAGTGCGGCGTAAAGCTACACTCACCCACTCACCGTAGAAACTTTCAATGAATGTTATATATCTAATAATGATAATGATAACATCTATAACGCGCCTTTCCAGGCTAGATATCCTGCTCAAAGCCCACAATCTGATAATTATTACCCGGGATAACCCAAGCTGCCTGTTAGGCGCTAGACGGTTAATTGTCTCACGACTTATTTCACCAAATACCCATTTCCTGCCGGGTGAACAATTTTGAACAAACTCACTTTCCTACGGTGAGACCACATGTATCACATGTGTTTCCATGTGGGGCAGGATAGAAGTCCAAGAGACTCTCAGGAGTCAAACTGTCACACACGGTCACTCATCCAAGGACTCTCCGCGCCCACCGTCGGTTAACTTCAACTCATTTGTGATACATGGCACTGGGTTGGTTGGTTTGAAATTGTTGTTATGTCAAAAATTGTTTTGATATCAAAACGTCGCAGAAAACTGTCTAATGAAATAACATTCAACCTATCATCGATTATGTCATTTATCAGGTGGTTACATTTGTAATGGAACGTAATTACAATCCTTTGAAAATTCAAATGGTGTAGCATGTGGAATTATGTTTGAAACATCGTCTCATCATTGACAATCTTGGTGCTTGAACTGTTGCATTTATTTTAGGCATAATAAACACGACCCGTGGAGATCCGGGTTATAATTGATCTTCAGTAATCCATGCTTGTCGTACGAGGCAACAAACGGGATCGTGTGGTCAGGCTCGCTGACTTGGTTAACAAATGTTACCGTATCCCAGTTGCGTAGATCGATGCTCATGCTGTTGATCACTGGATTGTCTGGACCAAATTCGATTATTTACAGACCGTCGCCATATAGATTGAATATTGCTGAGTGCAACTCACTCACTAATAAACACATTTTTGTACAATTTGTAATCTATTTTCTCTTGACTTTGTCCAGTTATAAATTCCAAATAAATCCAACGAACGTTTTCCGGATAGTCTATTGAATCGTTTTTTGTCTGTTTCATCCCATTGGTTGTCCATACTTGATTTTAGAATGTTATATTTGCAGTCTTATGAGGGAATATGACAATGAAGTCTTGGACGGTGTTCAGTTTGTGCTACGATGTTTTCAATATTGTCCATACTATATGATAGTTAAAACATATTTCACTGTAAATATGAGCGCGGGTATATACGATGAAAATAGTGAGTGTGTGAGTTAACATTTTACATCGCGTCGGCAATATTACAGCCATATAGCGATGAAAACAAGGTAAGCATTTTAGAATATCTGTCGGGGAAGGACCATAGAATAGCTGGGCATATCACAATTGTAAAAAAGAAGACAATAGATTCAATAGTTCATTCTTACCAATTAAAACTAGGCTATAAACCACCAACAATCAAAGGTTGACCACCTGACTGGGGATCAAGGGGACTTACAGGGACTTTTGCTTCCTACATGATTTCCCAGCAGGATTTTCACCATTCCTTTAGCTATCAGTGGTTGTTGATTATGTTAGCCAATATTTAAGATATTCAAGCCAATCAAAATTCTAAAACACTAGACAATATTATGTACTTTGATCAACAATGGACTTATATTTCACGGGAAGAAGGACAATATTTTTACACTACTTTAACCCTCTTAATGACACCGCCATCTATGTTCACAGTTGATCATAATATTCATCCAACTTAAAACATATATCGATTTCAAAATTCATCTATCACTTCATTTTCTCTTAAGAAGCCAAGAATAAAATGAGCATTGAGATTACTAAAAAGGTCCTTTAGACTAGTGGAATGATAATATAGATCCCTTATGAGAGATAAAAAATAGATTAGAATTGACACAACGTTAAACAAAATATGAAAATATCATACACTACAGGGCCCACGCAAGACACTGTTGTCGTTTGTACATCTGTGTCATTGAAATGTCCACAATGTCTAAATAATTATGCCCGATAACGTGTAGGATTTAATGTTCAGTCTCATGACGTATGTCTAAACTCGTCCTGAGCGTCAAGCACATATAGCAGAAAACAGACGTAAGGTTAACAAGGGGTATCATCAATACCATGGGCATTGTGATCATAACCACACCCGCAATAACTGCAAAAAACTCTTCATAACATTAGACAAATAAAACACAGACAAAAACCGAACAAAAGCAAAAAAAAGAAAACATTGAAAACCAAAACAACACACACAAAAAGAAAAATAGACAAAAAACACCAACCCTTCGCCCCCCCCCCTAAAAAAAATAAAATAAATAAAGCAAAAAGTAAGAACAACATAATCGTACCGCTACATTTTCCCGTTATATGTAAGCTCGTTTAACTGTGGTTTTACATTTGTTTGAATAAACCAGGAAATTGGTGATCACTCAATATTTATGAAATTATGTAAACAGAGATTACATTACAATTTATTCCAATCTTGACAATCATCTTTGGATAGCAGCCATAAATGTTTTTACTGTAAACAATTCGAATCTTTGCTAAATGTAGAGAGCTACTTGGTAAATAATGGTATCACTCAATGTTTAAAACTTATATTTCGGTGCCGTAATTTTACACTAGCAGTTGAAACTGGTAGATACATTAATGTTGCATATATTGAAAGGCATTGCCTGTTTTGTATTTTGTTGTTGAAGCTGAATGGCATGTAGTTTATATTTGTGATACATACTCTCGTATTAGAAATAAGTACATATACAAATATTTTGTAAATGTCCATCAATTATTTTATATCTATCTTACAGAGTAAAAATGTTAATATCGTCATGGATGTGTGTCTATGTTTATACTATGTTGATAAGAAACACCAATCTCAATGAAATACATTACATGTGCTCTAGTTATCCATGTACATATGCATTTTGGGCCGGAGGCATGATACTGAAATGAGATTTTGTTCTGTTCGTGTAAATATGTCAGTTACAACTGAGGACTGAGAAGTCAGAATTAGCACCACACTCACTCAGATCAGGCAGGACAGGTTTTGGTGTTAGAAGGGCAATTACATGCCAGTTAAGATATTATTTATATTCAATACAACAGTTGCTGTTGTTGAACTATAATTTGGTTTAATGACCTGAAAGTGAGTGAGTGAGTTAGTTTTACGCCGCACTCAGCAATAGTCCAGCTATATGGCGGCGGTCTGTAAATAATCGAGTCTGGACCAGACAATCCAGTGATCCAGCATGAGCATTGATCTACGCAATTGGGAACCGATGAGTGGCCATGTGTCAACCAAGTCAGCGAGCCTGACGGGCCCGATCCCGTTAGTCGCCTCTTGCTGAAGACCTATTCTACCCCGGATATTCACGGGTCAAAGACCTGAAAATATAAGAGTAATGACATAAAATCATTGATGGAATTTCTTTAATGATTTAAATTTGAGGCATTTGACAAAATTGGTATCATTGCCATGACTTCAGAAGTCAGACTGAACCAGCTTGGCCATAACAAGAGCAACAGAAGAAACATATCCCGTTGCGATGTTGTTAGAGAAGTGAACCTCTACCTGGTTAGGCCCAGGGACAATCACAGATGGCGGAACTAAAAACTCCCAAACATTCCAATACGTATTGCTTGCAAGCTTGTCGGAATCAAATAGTTTAAAGAAAGATTCAAGACGGTGGTCATTAACGGTAAGATATGATACACTGTTTGTTTCATTGATCAGCCAACTGGTTGACACTCTCAGTCTTCCATTGTCATACTGGCCATTTGGTAGAGATATCACTGTCGAGACAACATTGCCATTGATTGCTATAAGCGTGTCAGCTCCGTAATATGTGGTTTCGTTGAGAGTGACTGAAGGCAGTTTGTTTGAAGGGGTGTTAAATGTAAAGTGACATGATGCTTCAGGAGGAAGTTCAACAATTCCTTGTGTCTTCTGGATGTCGATGGTTTCGTTGAAGGTGATGGCCGGAAACCAGTCGTCCTTGATGGTGGTGCAAGTAGCTTGGCCAGTTGTTGGTTTGATCCAGTCGTCTTGGAAGACTAGCTTGACTGCCTGTGACCTCCGAGAATAACTGTGCAAGAGAATGACGGTTTCGTTCGTGGAGGAACTTGACATTGCTAATGGTGTCACTGTTCGTTCCTCTCCGTCATACTGGCTGGTAGTTCTGATGAAGGAGAAGCCTGACGCGAATTTGTACCAAAACTTGTAAATGTTGTCAATATTTGTGGGTTTCCCATCAAGAGTGAAAAGTGAATAGTTGATACTATACCGTCCTGGCCACTCTTCATTGGCTAGAATCCACGCCACTGCTCTTTCAATGTATTCCCTGAGATTTAATTGGGTAAATCTGTGGCCATTAGCCTGGTAGATTGTTGAAAATTCCATTATGGGTGATGGAGCGTATTTGTCACGTCCTATAGCTGCACCGCGACCATATTCACTAATAACAAGGGGAATAATCTTACCGGTCTTCTGAGAGGCGTAGTTTTCAACCAGGTCTATAAATGCTACCAGACGTGCTTCATTTGCTCCAGTAAAATTGTAAGATCTTCCAGAAACACCGATGTCATTGTATGCATGAAATGAAAATACATCTATGTAGCCTAAATTGACATCCATGAAATTTGCCACTTTTTGCCAATACGAAAAGTCGTGTAAATCTGCGTTCTTAATTTCACTGGTAAGTGTTGGACCAGCCACCTTGATGTTAAATTTGGTATGGAGTTTCTCCGCAACTAATTTGTGTAAGATGTTAATAGTTGTGAAATTCAGTATATGCCATTTACCATCCGGTTCATTTATTGGCTCAAAATAGGGTGGTATCTGTCCTTTGGTGTAGTCATAAACTCCTTGCACCATCAACATCATGAACTCTGCAGCAGCATCGACATTGTTTGGGAAATGACCATCATGTTCAGACATGTCTATCCAACTCGGGAAGAAAAGAGCTGTCAGTAGGGTAAGAGTAAAAGATACACCAATTAATTTGTTGGTAAACAATGAGTGGAAAGGAAATAGTTTGAAAATCTTTGAAATATTTAAATTTCAATATGAGAGGAATAATGCTATAACAGAACATACATTGTGTAAGAAATAGTCATGTAATACAAATAGAGCAATAGAATGTTGTATGTTGAAAGAGATGCAATATTACGGTCTAGGTCACTCTGATCTCTTTATTAGAAAAGCACACTGTTTGCTTTTCATTTTGTTTACCTGGAAGCACAGTAATAGACCATCGTTAGACACCTTGAGGTTCGTCATGAGATATTTCGTGGTTAAATTGACGGTGGTTCACTGTTTGGCGTCTGGCTGGCCACTGACAATGAACCGACTATGTGCTCATGACGCACCATTTGGAACCAATGGATGGGATTAGAAATTATATTTATTTTGGTCTTATCCTCAATAACTACCCAGCAATCATATCGAACGTTCTTACCTTCTGCCATCATGATCATGCCGTTCTCATAGCCAGTGTTGATGTTCTCTACGTACTTGGAGAACAGTTCTTCTTGTTTGGTGACGTTCTTCAGATAGTTGGGGTCAGGGTAGCCACTACGGTTGGGATCTTCTGGCCACTGCAGTCAATATGCATTTTAAATTAGAGTTGTACCCAACCTTATGCAATGTTGCAAACATTCGTATATGCACATTAGTACGAACATTTACTCTCAGTTTATATTGCTGAAATTGTGTGAGATAACTTAAGTTTGAAACTTTACCCTCATTTTAAATATTTCTTTTCGTTTCTGTTGTAAAATGTTACACAATTTTGACCTGTCATTTGCAATGTGGAATGTGTGTCCGTTCAGTAGACAAACATAGTACTGAGTGCCTGAAGTGATAAAAATATATTTTCGTTACAATATATGGAAACATTATAAGACATACTATACATGGTAATAACTGTTGTTTCTACTATCACTGAATCTGAGTTTAATGTAAACAAGAAAGATCCAATAAATTCTTGCAGTTACTGTAGTAATCTAAGATACTATATCATTGCCATTATCATTACCTTTTCAATTTGATAAGGTCAGGTATGTCTTTGAGAAATACTCGTGATCGCTTGCATTTAAAGTAATATCTGGTATTGTGTCAGTAACTCTCTGTCATCCCTGATCATTGAGTATCGGGGTTAGAATTGGTCATCAACAACACATGCTTGTCAGAAGAAGCGTGTACCCCCACTGGATGGTAAAGACCGGGTAATGCATGCAATCACATCCCAAGTGCGTAGATCATTGCATATGATGTCAATCACATGATTGTCTGGTCTACACCCGAGTACTGAAACATCGCCCTCATATTGCTAGGATATGACAGCAGTAAACTGGAAACAATTAAGCAAACAAAAGTTCTCACGTCCAGGAAGAGATCACCATTGTAATCTCTGTCGCCCCAGCGTCCACTGTCAGTCCGGAGGCTCCGACATTTTGGAATGAGACGTGTTTGATCCAAGTTATTGTGCTTGCTCCATCTATTAAAGTCGTAGCGAACGCGTCCTCCCTGTGCCAGCCACTGAGGGTGGATCGTCACAGTGGTGTCACTATACACACTACCATCGCTGTGGACACTGTCTACTATGAGACTCAGGGAGAACAAGACCTGTGTCCATTTCATTTTCTGTAGCAAATACCACAAATAAAATTGTTTATTTAAAGTATGGTGATCTGGTTAGACTTCACTGACGAAAATGACAAGATATTAACCATAATATTGGCCCCCAACATTGTCACATATGGATACATTTCATCGATGTCGATACGGCGTATTCATTCTGGTATTTCTATATTTAATGTTTATGCACCTGATGAACTCACTACGTATATGTACGTACGTATGTATGAATAATAACAAATACAACTTCAATTCTTTGATGTATTTATATTTAACCATTACAGTTTTCCCAGAAATTATTGGGGAAATCTTTGTTTCCTAATACTGATAATAGATTTTAAAATATGGGGAGGCAATATGGGAGGCAACTCCTGTCGGCTTAAGAATGAACCTTACTACATCAATAGTTATCTCCCCTGGTGTAGCAGACGGCTTCCTTTGTTGAGATGGCACATTCGACGGCAGAAGAGAAAAGAAAGCTGGTTCTAGATGATTTTGAAAGGGGTGTGACTACTGCGAAAGGGTTAGCTGGTAGATGTGATATTCCTCTGTATACAGTATTCAGAACTATATATTCCGTCGGGAGCTCTGGCTGAGCACAAGACAGGGGCAGGGACTACGGATCAGTAGTTCAATACTACGGATTGCTGGCGACTTGGTCAGATTGTGAGTATGGTAAAAATGGAAAGCGTTGAGAATATCAGAAATGAGATGATTAATAGAGGAAGTTCTCAGGTATGTAATGAAACCCTCCGAGAAGAAATGCAAATCCTGAACGGGGTGAAAAAGCACAGAATTCCTCACCATTGATGGAAGATGCACAAAAAGAAAGACGTTTATACTGGTGTAGGGCTCACGAAAATTAAGATTGGGATAATGTTTTCTTTTCATATGAAAGTTCTGTCTGGCTTTTTCCAAACAGTTTGAAAATTTGGACAAAACAATACCGTGTAACCTATCTACCAACGCCAAAAACAGCACGAAGTTTCACATGTGGAGTGGAATATCATCACGTGGAGTGACGCCGTTGTGTATTTTCACTGGAAATTTGACGAAGGAACGATACGTTGACATCTTAAATGATCACCTCCTTCCATCGGCCCGAACACTGTATGAAGATGAATGGATTGTCCAGCATGATAACGACCAAAAACATACACAACACAGTCGTTGTTGGACGGAAATGTTCAAGTTTTAGACTGGCCCAGCTACATCCCAGAGCTTTACTCTAATGAGAATGTGCGGGGTCTATGAAGGACAGAATATACCTAACAGGACTTAGAAATATTAAGGATATGAAGAAACAAGTGGTCGAATATTGGGATACATTGTCACACGATTTCTTTCATATTTTGATCGGAAGTGTCCCTAGAGAATCATAAGTAAAATTTCTAAAGTTCACTTACTACGTATTAGATATTTGCTGAAGCAATAATAATTTCTGGGAATAATATACATTTAAACTCAATATAAACTATATCTACATGCATATGCTTATATGTAAACATATGTTATGTAGACGCTTTATGTTGTATGTCTGTCTGTCATAAGCATGAAATATAGACAGCCAAAGTAGTTGTGCTTGTTGACTTATGCGCAAGGGATACCTGCACTTCAATTTGACGAGCACACATATTTTGACTCAAATTTTAGGGTGACAAACGTATTTAACCCAGTGAACAAACAAATATTTATATAGATTCCACATTAAACCCTATATACTGTCAAAGTGCCTAAAATATATTCTTGTGTTTCCTTGGTGTACAAACAACAGTTCTCGACTTGCATCGTTCAGTCGGACATAAATATTATACACATAAGTCATACTCACGAGATGGATAAGATTCCACTACACATGTACACCAGAGGCTGGAGTCTATATAGTCAGAATCGATGGCAACTGACAGCCACCCTGACACCGTTCTATAAATGCATGCTTAAGATAAGAACAGGCGTTGGTATGTAGGTGCGGTGATAGGGTAATCTGGAAGTGCTAGTAACCCTGTAGCTTTATAAAGGACAAGGATATACGCTGAAATTGTAACACAAAATTCTTGATGTATAATTTAGTTTCCTGTCACGTGAAAGTCTCAAAGATTCAAATTTCAAAGCACCTATGCGGACCATTGTTCAAGAGACAACCACGGAAGTTATTCTTGGTTGTGGTATTTGTTATTTCATTGATGACCCAAACTGTTGCCGAAGGAAACAGAAACAGTCCAGAAGTACCCGACAAGATTGTAAAATATAGTAATGAAGTATTGACATTACGCTCTTGTGACAGTATTTGTCTTCACAGTTGTAATCGTTTGCAAAAGTTTGACATTACAAAATGGTCGTGTTAGAATGCTTGTCAGTGACTCCATAACTTTTCCTTGAAAACGCCACCTAACACGACAATAGAAATCAACACAATCAACCATTAAGAAATATGTCCATTCATACTTTTCCAGTTATTAGTATTTTTCCATAGACATTTGAATATATTGACCATTATTTTCATCATCAGATCATCATCTAGTGGTCAGAGCGTCTGACCGGGAGCTGAGGGTTGGTGGTTCACATAAAAATGCAACAAGGGTGATACTTGCTGAACCTCTGTGTCACTCAGTGACTCTGCATGTTATTGTGTCCCATTTGATATTGTTTCCCCTAGGTACATTTAGGAGGGCGCTGCGCCCTGCTCTTTGATTTTTGCGCCCTGCCTTTTTTGTTTTGCGCCCTGCCCTTTTCGCCTCAATCCCAGTTTTTTTCCCAGCTGTGCTTGATTTTACAACAACCCGTGTGTATTTTCCGGATTTTATTAAGGACGGAGTTCTCTCCCTTTCAAGGGAGACACCAAATTGTTTTGATAATGATTAGGAAATTGGCATTTAAACCATGGCGAAATGTGTTTAATTCGCTTTACAAATCACAATGCCTACCAAGGAAAGAATCAAATGGAAAAGAGAAGAAGCGGTGAAGGTTGAAGCAAGGAAGTGGCGCCGACTAATAGATTTCTTCGCTCCTAACAGGTATGTGCCTCTAAGTTCGTGATTTTTAGGCCATTGATTTCCCTTTCAATTTCACATGCCTTTCAACTAAGACCTTCATTTATTAAAGACAACGATGTGTGAACTACATGGGATGTATTTTGGTACGTTTGGGGGACCGATATTCATGTGACTGTGCTGTTTAGGTGAAAATCTGAAACTCGAAAATGTCCGCCATTTTGAATCCATCGGCAATTTGAAATTGATCTTGAATTATTTTGTTGTTTGTCCTGGGAAATGAAATAGTTAATACAGCTTGCATAACAGCTTCACTTGGTAGCCTTGTTTTTAGTGTTTACTGTCGATTTCATAAAAATGTAAGTCTTGAAGGAGTAAAACTATTTTACGATTTCAAACAATGGGAAGCCACACCCTTGTCGAGGCTCTCCACAGTAGATACTTACGTTCAGGTGTATTATTGTGTGATATTTTTGTTTTAATAATTATGATTGCAAATTTAATATTTTGAATATGGTGTATTAACTTTGTATTATTTTTTTTTCAGACCGGACGAGTCAGAGGTAGTTTCCTATGAAAATTCAAGGGCACACGAGACAGAGTCAGTTAATCCAACACAGAAGAAAGATGGTGGTCACAAGACTGCATTTGACACAAAGTGGCAACAAAACCGTCCCTGGTCGAGGTACTCAGAAGATGACAAAAAGAAGAGAATGATGTTTTGTTCATTATGTTCTAAGTGGAACACCAAGGGCAGAAATGGACTTAATGTCGACCAAACACAGATTGAGTGGAGTCAAGTAAAGGAACTTGACACCAGTTCACCCTCCACCATTTTGAAGACTCAAGCCTCAACTTGGAAACTTGAATCCAAACATTGTTCAATTACTGTCCATTCATGCAACTGTGATTGTCCACTTCTGAAGTTGAGAGAGTGTTCTCAAAAGTGAAACTGATTGTGACAGATCATAGAAACAGACTCAGTGTTCAAAATTGCAATGGACTTCTCATGATTAGCCTGAATGCATCGTCAGTTTCAGACATTGACTTGAAAAAAGTTGTGAACAGATGCTTGGCAAGAAAGAAAAGAAGACTGTAAATTGTTTTTTGCATGTTTTGTGAAATTGTAAACAAATGTGACAACAGATTAATGTCTTGAAATGCTTTTTTTTCTAAATTTTGATCTTAAAATACAAAATGAGAAGAGTAATAAATGAACTTTAGAAATAAAATTATCAGAGCATTTGACTTCATATACATTTTGTTTTTGTTATTTTTTCAATAATCCTCACCAAAGTGCCCTTTTAGATTATGAAGTGCCCTTTTTGTTTAAGTTAACCTGCCCTTTCTGAATCCTAGGGGGAAATTTTGTGTTTATAGATGTTCATGATTTCATTCAAGTAATGTTTGATACAGACTCAATTATTCACAGAAAGGCTCCAAAAAGAGCAAACAACGAAAAATATTGCGTCCCATTTGTGTTTATAGATGTTCATGATTTCATTCACGTAATGTTTGATACAGACTCAATTATTCCCAGAAAGCCTCCAAACAGAGCAAAACAACGAAACATATTGTGTCCCATTTGTGTTTATAGATGTTCATGATTTCATTCAAGTAATGTTTGATACAGACTCAATTATTCACAGAAAGCCTCCAAAAATAGCAAAACAACGAAAAATAAACAAAATGTCCTGTTCGCGGTGACTCATTCGGATTTGTCATTCATTATATAGACCTTGCCTCACTACTGGCCTTCTCCACGACACCCGACCTGTGAAGATCCGGGTTAGAATTGCCCATGCTTGTCGTAAGAGGCGACTAACGGGATTGGGTGGTCAGGCTCGCTGACTTGGTTGACACATGTCATCGTATCCCAATTGCGTTTTTTGCAAACCGCCGCCATATAGCTGAAATATTGCTTGGTACGGTGTAAAACTAAACTCGCTCTCCCACTCTCCACGACACCCAGCACACTTGCTCAGCATATGATTTTTCACTCTGATCTAGTTCAACACTGATGCAAAATATAACTGAGCTACATACATGAGCCAACAAGCTCCACATATTTTTAGCATATACTTCTCACTACTGGCTTACTAACCCCACACTCGACACGCTATCCAAACACTTCCCTCTTCACTACTGAAGCCGTCAAGTAGCTGTACAATGGGTTGCACATTACATTCCCTTTAAACTATCACTTCTAATTAATGAGTACTTCATGATTTTGTCTGCTCAAGTTTCATGGGAAGCGCGTTCTTCAAACAGTGTAACGTTTCATAAGTCGACCCATTCAGCGTTGATGATGTATGTTTGTAAAATAAATGTACTGTTATGAATCATGGCATTCATCTATTTATGAAATTTCCAGATTGTGATTCGAGTCGTTCCTTGAATCAGAGTCTTTTCAACGTAACTTCCGTTCCGGGAATATCCGTACTGTCTTTATACGCTTTAGAATAATTAAGTAATAAAGCGAGGAAGATATCTATCGATTAAAAAACTCCAAAGGCTCTGCAAATTCTGTCAGGTTATCGAAGATGAAAGTCATTTTGTTTCTTTGCTCCATATATGGCAACCAAATATTCACCCCAATGACCCTTATCTCATGTCACTGTTCAAATACTCTCTTCCTTACTGTCCCGCAGGGGCGGTTGGTTAGCCTGATGATAAAAACGTTCGCTCGTCACGCTGAAGACCCGGGTTTGATTCCTCACATGGGTGAAGTGAAGCCCATTTCTGGTGTACCCCGCCGTGATATTGCTGGAATATTGCTGAAAGCGGCGTAAAACCATTTTTACTCACTCACTCACTCACTACTGTCCCTCAAGGAACTTTCAAACAACATGAAGCATCGATATTTATTCACCATACATTTTTGCTAAGAAATGAATTGATGCTGATGATATGTGTTAATGGTACTATGTAACTCCTCTGTATATGGGCAAATGGCCTTTCGTGCAATAAAGAATGAATTGTGCAGCTAAACGTAGACAGAAAAACCCCATGATAAGCTCCTCTTCAAGTCAAATCATATATCAGCTGTCAGGCTACGTCATGTAGGAGTCACGGTAAGTTTTTGCTCAAGACTGAGTAAAGTCAGCAAAATGTATTTCTCGGAATAAACTGAAATCGATATTAAAATCATACTTCGACAATTTGATTTGATAAATGTGTTTTTGTCTTGTTTTGTTTTTAGAAACGTGACTGAGTTGGAAAATCAGCTGTTTCAAAATCTCTTAGTACACGTGCTTACATGTAGGTGTGTGCTCTGAACCAAACCTTTATACCCCTTTACAACGTCATGATACAAACGGTAACCTTCAAGTTCAGGTCAACACTCCCTGCAGTTGAAATGAACCTGGGCTTAGAATATGACAACAATGACATTAATGGAAATTATTTAATAATTCGAATATGACGCACGACTATTAATCTGACTTCAAGTCAGATTGAACCAACTTGCCCGTCACAAGAGCAAAAGAAGAAACATATCCTGTTGTCTTGTTGTTAGAGAAGTGAACCTGTACCTGGTTGGAATCTGTGACAAACACAGATGTGGGGACTACAAACTCCCAAACAGTCCAATACGTGTTGCTTGCAGGATTAAACTTGTCTGAATCATACAGTTTAAAGAAAGAGTCATGGCGATGGTCATTAAAGGTAAGATATGAACACTGTTTGTTTCATTGATCAGCCAACTGGTTGAAACTCTCAGTCTTGCACTGTCATACTGGCCATTTGGTAGAGATATCACTGTCGAGACAACATCGCCCTTGATTGGTATCAGTGTATCCGCTCCGTAATATGTGGTTTCGTTGAGAGTGACCGACGGCAGTTTGTTTGAAGGGGTGTTGAACGTAAAGTGACATGTTGATTCAGGAGGAAGTTCAACAATTCCTTGTGTGTTCTGGATGTCGATGGTTTCGTTGAAGGTGATG